GACCAGTATCCTGGATGCGTGCCATCGGTGCTGGATGCAGTTTGCACCTGCAAAGGTACTCTACACCGATGGAGACGGTGCCCTCAACAACGACACTGCGAAAGCAGTCCTTAAGGCAAAGGGTGCTGAACTAAGGATACGCGCGCGTGGACAACGCGCGACCGCGATCGAGGCTAGAAATGGCATGCTGAGCCATCTACTTCATGTCGCGGAAGCTGAACTCAGTAGGTTAGACATACCTGTGGTGTTCACATGACTACTGCATGAAGCTTTCTTTGCCGTCAATGCGTTCACCTTGGCTACCGATGTGTCTCCATGCAACGCCCTGTTTCGACGGCAACCGGCAATGCTCCCTGACTTGCCTATCCGGGATCACGAGCAGCCGACGGAAACGTCGGATCATTCTCGTGAACAGATGATACGCAAGGCATGCATGGGAGCTACCACGCAGGTCGCTGCAGTCGCCAAGACCAATCGAGCATTACGCACTAAGACAACTATGGCCAGTCAGCACTACTACGACGAGGGAAATTTAGTTGATTACCAGCGCCCCGCAACCACGAAGGACGACTGGGGAGGCTGGAATGGCCCGTTCCCGGTCGTAAGAATCGATCCCGACAGGGGTCAAGTCATCATTCGAGCTGGAAGCCGCGACGTACAGGCACAATACGGCGATGCACGACTTTCACTTTCTATAGAAGTTTTGATAGCCAGAGAGATTGGCTCCGACAACACTGCGCTGCGGACAGTGTTGACGCGCGTGGCCAGTCTACCTGCGGGGAGACCTGCTGCGACATTTGGCTGTGTCCCGACCAGGAAGGGGGCGCTGCAGATGACAAGCGCAAGCCGACTAACTCCTGAGGTATATCTGGCTTTACAATACCTCATCAGAAACTCCTTCCGCATCGAGAATGTAGTTTGTGTTAGGTTAGCCAAGAGTATCCACAAGCTAAGTCCGGTGGCTTACGCTGACAGCTGCACGTTGGTCCACTATGGCAACGAGGTGAATCCAGGATTTCGCTATTATGAAGCAGAAGGCGCCGCTCGTAACATTCACGATTTACTTGGATCAGCACATTCAAGTATCACCCAGTGCCTGAAGTCCACCAGACCTCAGGCGGGCGTCGACCAGGAAATTACAAAGTTTGAGGAATTCGCGTCGCGGATATACCGACACAGGACGGAAACGCAAGTGAAGCCCCAGAAGCCGAACCACCACAGGAGGATGGACAGCTTCCCACGATATATGAGGAATCGGAGGCTGCCCTCGAGGCCCATATCATGGAAGTGCGGCATGCAGAACTACCAGATGTCCGGAAAGTGCTGGAGGCGACTCCACTAGAGGACCTTTTTCACACTTTCCGCATAGATGATTTCAGACAGCTGTGTGCTGATCGCTGTAGCTGAAGGACAGCGGGGGCACCTGCCTAAGTGGGGGCGCCCACGCGACTCCGACATCGAGGAGACGAATCATGTCCCATTGTGCCCCGCGGTCGAAGATTGCAGTTACGGGCTGGACTCATGCGAAAACGAGCAATATGTAGAACTCTGCTTTACGGCAGAAATGTCAAAGGTAGTCCTATCCGAACGACAGCACAGGATATTAGATGCCGACCGTGTTACCACCATGCGAATATTTATAGTTGTGTGTATGTATGTCTGTATATGCATATATATACACACACATATATATATACATATATATGTATGCGCCGCTGCACAGCGAGCTTCGGTCGTCAAAGAAGACGACCTTCTCGCGAAGGTTGACATCCAGGCGAATCCCGAGAAAGTATCCAAAGCCCCGTGCACTGAACCCAAGACATGGTTTGACAACGGGTGTTTCAAACTGCAAGATATATCTAATGCGTCAAGCATCATGACTTCGAGGTACGTGTACACATGGAAGTTCGCGAAGGACGAGAAGGGCGAGATGGAACGTACCATCAGATTGCGCCCAGTGTTTCGAGGCTGCATGGACCTCGAAACCTTCGACGTGGAAGCCCTCTCAGGAACGGCGCGGCGGCCAAGCCAGAGACTACTCGCGAGCGCGGCAGCGTGCAATTAGCAATGCAGCATTGCTTCCCTCGACATCGACATGGCCTCCCTGACAGGGTTGACCTACCGGGAACCTGCTGAGGCAACTGGTGAGATATCGCGTGGTGTGCTCTACTCTGCCGCCTGGATCGGCTGCGGTTCTTCGAGCCCCTCCCTGGGTTCGAGCGCCGCGACGAGTCGAAGCGCTGCTTGCAGCGCCTCAAGCCAGTCACTGGCACCAAGGACGCACCTCGAGCTGTCTCACTCAAGCCCACGTCCTACGACGAGGAGTTCGAGACGAGCTGCAAACGGCCCGCGGCCAAACACGTTGATGCCTCAATATGGCCGGCACAGAGGACACCATTGACAAGTCTGTCCAGTGCGTGGAGGACACGTTTGACAAGTGTAAACTCAACAATTACACGCGAACCAATTGCGCTGTGAGATATACCAAGGATGAGCGCGGCATTGCTACGTTGGACCAAGACGAATACACCAAACAGCTCCGTCCTATACAACATCCTGAGTTTACAGGCGCCGACGCTGACGCCCAAGCCTCCAAGATGGTTGCAGACATGCCCGTCAGCCTCAGAGGCGCATTGGCGCATGCATTAATCACCCAGGCGCGGTTGATGGCACATGCTGTCTCCTTGCATCGCGCCCAGGGGCCGGCCGACATGCAGGTGCGACGACTGAGCGCGATTGCCAGGAAACTGCAGGCCTGCCCCAAGAAGATCGTCTACCAAGCGATGACTCCCACGGGCGAAGTTGACCTGCACGGCGACTCAGGTTATCGACGCTTGAGTGGATATTCCGATGCCGAAGTCAAAGGCCATGGTTCTCGCGGGGCAAACCTGCTACGGCGCGGAAGCACGCCATCTGGCAAGCCTGTCGCTCTTTTGATCGACGCGTTGCAAGTCTCACCGCTCGCAGGTCCGCTCGAGCTATTCAGCAGAGACACTCGCAGCAGCCCACAACTTGGAGGACTGCTGTCCCACGATCGTGACTCTGCGCGAGCTCCACGCAGGGCCGTTAATTCCGACTCATGTGAAAGACATACTTGAGTTGGGTGGCCGGATCATCGAGGTCTCTCTGAGCATCTGTGTTGAGTCCGTTTTAAGTCTTTGTCGAGCAAAAGCTTGAAGAAGCCGACTGAGTGTACACTTCTAGGACACATTAGCTGGATACGACAGATGGTGGAGCGAGGAATCGTGCACAGTATCCAATGGTGTGACACCCGCGATATGACCACGGACGGTCACACAAAGGGGGGCATCGACAGATAAATGCTCCTACAGGGCATGGGAGGTACGCAGTGCTTCAAACATGATTTAAAGCGTTATACTCCTTATCGGGCTGGCCAGACATCTCGGTCTGCAGCCGCTTGAGGAATACTCGAATGCACAGTAAGGTAGAGGCGAGGCAACGTGCGCGCGGGGCCACCTTCCTTATGGCCCGCCTTTTTTGCGACCCTTTTGTACAGAGTAGCTGCTGTGCCTGCTGTATAGAGGCGGCGGACTCACGTTTCGTTCCCCCCCCCCCCCTCCCCCCCGAATCTACAGTGAGCTGGGGACACAGGTGAGTGGAAGCGAACGTGTGCCCGCGGCCGCTTCGCTCAATGCCGCCGACCGCCCAAGTCTGACTACACCTCAGTGCGAGGTGTACCTTTCAAAATCGAGACCGAAGACATCCTTCGCTTGAGATGGCCCGCCGCTCCCGTGACGACCTCCTACTACTGGGACAATCGCTACTACGATACAACAGAGCTGGAGCTGGGCTTCGCCTAAGGCGACGCTGCTGGTTGGGCCTCCCAACCCCTGTCAAACTTTTGCAGCCATCTCGGACTATCTTGGACGCTCCAATCCGTCGCCGCTCCCCCCCGTCCAGACCAAAGGGGAGGGGGCAGGGATGGGAGGGGAGAGACCAAGACAGTTCTCTCAGGCGCACGCTGCCCGCCCCAACGCACAGGGAGTACCCCACTCTCGGTGAATTCAGCGGTCGTTTTGGGATGGACAGCTACTGGGAACCAATTCGGACACCACTTGCGGGGCGCAGGGGTGGGATGCGCCACGCGTGTAAAACGCGCCGCGCGTATCAGCCGCCCCTGAGGCTCAAGCGTGCCAGGCACTCTTGGTGCGCCCGGTGTGCCACGTGTTCTACATGTGCCAAGTGTGCGCGCAGTGTGCCCTATGCTCCAGCCGCGTCAAATGCGCAACGTCCGGGGCACCCGCAGAGTGTGCCAGCTGCGCCCCCGCACATCAGGAAACATTTCGGCATCCACCATCTCTGCTGAAAACCAGTGCGCAATCGCGGCGGAGAAGAGGATGCCTCTCAGGCTCGCCGCCTCTGACTTTCACAATGGACATGACATTCTTACGCGATCATTTCCCGCCTGCAGGCTACGACTTGGGGTTCTCCCCAAGCAGAGGTGCTTTCCCGTAGCCAGATCCTTCAGCAATTTCGCTGGGCTGACTATGGCGGCCCGCCCGCTTGTAGGCCTGGAGGCTTACCCAGTGATCCTCCTCCCCCTCCTCGTCGTCGTCGTCCTCTTCCGCCTCCTCCTCCTCCTCCTCCTCCTCCTCCTCCTCCTACTCCCCCTAATCCTCCTCCTCCCTCTTCCGCATATGTTTCGCAGTTTTCCTTCCGTTCTGCAGTCCCGTCTTCTCAATTCGGACCGCCGCGGCCCAAATGATGCAGCCAGACGTAAAATTTTGGATCCCCCTTCCCTTCTCTTTCGCGTCGGTGGCGTAGGTGGCGAATCTCAGGCTCACTGCGCCACCTTCTGCCCAGGCTCACCAGCACTGAGGATTGAACACGCCCAGTGCGAAGCCGCACGCTGCATCATCACTCCCCCTCTTTTTCCTCTTCTCTCCCCCTCCTCCACCCCTGCCCCCCCCCTCCCGCCACCCTCCTCTCCCCTCTCTCCTCTTCCCCCCCTCCCCTTCACCCCCTCCTCCCCTGAGCAGGCCGCGAAAGACCCCGACGCGGAGAACAACAACGCCGGCGTCGTCGCGGTGGCGCGCGCTCGGCCGAACCCCCCTTTGGGAGCAGCCGCTCCCCGACCCCCGCTGCTGGTCCGAACCCTGGGTTTTCAGGGCAGGAGGAGGTCGTTTTTTTTCCTGATGTGGATTCCGGCTTCGCGCCGGAGTCGCCCTGGATTGCAACCGATTGCATTCTGCCCCGTGTGGTTACTGTGCAGCATTCTCCTGAGGGATCAAACGGTTTTTCTGTTAAGGCATATCTGGACCAGGTTTATTCTGGAGAATAGCGGTGCCCAAGCCCTTTTCAAGGGAACTGTTTCCCCCCGCTGAGCTGGTTCCCCCGTCTTTCGGTTCCCTTCGCTTTCATACCCCCCCTTCCGTCCATCCGCTCAGAGGCGGCGGAATTGTGTGGCTGGCCTCGGGAACGCCAGCGGCCCCCAAATCGTTGTGGGAAATCTTGGAAGAATTGCATGGCAAATGTTTGACGCTTCGCGTAACCCAACCAGACAGCGGGATGAGGAGGGGGCGGGCAGGGGGACCATGCCGGCCCCCGGAGAAAGGACCTCGGTCAACGGTGACCAGGCACAGTGCCTGGCGCAGAGTATGCTCCTGGAGCACAGGGTAGATCGACAACCAGGACCCTGGATCTCTAGAGCCCTGTGGCTCTGCCTGGCACCACACTACTTTCCCCTCCTCAGACCAGTGCTGACTGTGCGGGCAGTGGACTCCCGACCCTACGACGTTCTATATCGCTGGATGGTTAGGAACGAAATACATACGCCGGAAGACTTGGTGGCCCGCCTCCGGGGAGACTTCCCGGATGCCGATCTAGCCCCATACTCCGAACTCACCAACTTACAAATCCAGGCCCTCATATGCCATCTCAGTGACGGAGCTAGTCTGACGCACCTCGATGCTAGTGTGTCCGCCAGGGCCCTCATTGGGAGCCTGGAGGACGGCCTATCCCAACTCGGCCCCCCCCTGGAGACAACGCCAGGTTTCCCCCGGAAAGCATGGACGCCGTGGACGTTCCTCCTTGGGACCTGGAAGTTGATACCCCACTATGCATGATCTGCAGCGAAGACATCTTAGGTTTCGCGGAAGCCTTGGTGCCTTGCGGCCACTTGTACCACGCCGAATGCCTTAGACAGTGGAGGGTTAGCCAACCCGCGCAGGCCCACTCCCACGGAAAATGCTTCCCAGTGAACTGTCCGATTTGCCGCTCCAATGATAGGGGTAGCGTCACCGTAAGGTTGCCAGGACGAATCCGAGACGCCGACGCTGCCGAGGTGGCGGTACCACCAGACCTCCTGCAACTCCGCGATGGGACCTTACCCCCGCTGCAGCCCTTCCTGAGCCTGCAAGAGTTAGCCGAGGCATTCAGGCACTTGGCCCCAGATCTGGACTGCCTCAGAGCACAAGCACTCTCCATCCGACGGCCCCACACATACGTCTCGCTCTCAGACATGCGCAGGATCCACGCGCACGTTACGGAAAGGAAAACTGCGCAGGAGGTACGTCATGCCCCGATGGAGGTGGACGGAACCCCACCTGACGGGGGAAGCGGTGGAAGCGGCATGGACCCCGATGACACTCATGACAGCTCGCAGAGCCTTGGAACCCTGCCTCCACAGCGACTCCTTGGTCCCACCAACAGGGCAGATAGGATACGGCAAGCCCCGCGGATCACTTTCGGAAGATGGGCCCTTCTTCTGGGACGGAACCCCCCAGAGGACGAACCCAGGAAGAGAGGGCCCGGGCGGTTCCCGGTGGGACTGCTTACCGCGGCCGTCAGAGACATCGCAGCCGATCTGGTAATTTCCAGAAGCACGTACCTCGGCGAACGTGTAGCGGATGAGACTGGAGTCACTTTCGCCCTTGCAGGCCCAGACGCCTGGGAGCATATCAAAGCAGTAGTCACGGAGCGCAGGAACCAGCCTCAGGGGAACGCCGCCCCAACAATCCTTGTGGTAGACGCCGTCGCTCAGCAGATGGACGCCGCCCTGACGGCAGCTTCCGTTGCGGGTAGCCCATGCTGTCTCGTCGCCCTGGCCACCGAGGGTGTTCCATCCCCTGGAGGACCGGATCCGGTCGAGCTCGCGGCAGTGGCAAACGCGCAGTGGGGATACCGAGCCGCCAGCAGAATTACCCACCTCGCCCCGATCGGGCACCCCTACCGAACTGGCAAGCCCAGCCCACCAATGCAGCAGCTCTTTGCCGCTCAATTCGACCTAGCGGGCAGGACACTGCGCACGATTCTACCCCCGTCAATAGTCGTGCACTGGGGAGGGAGGAGCGGGGATACCTCTGACGCACTACACATCCTAACCCCTGAAGTTGGCAACGACGGTGTCGTCGCGCAGATCATGAGGTGGAAGAACGAGCTAGGACGATCCCACAACGGAGCGATCGCAGCTGACTGGGTCATCACGAGAGTGCAACTCCCCCGGGACGAACTATTACGATACCAGGGACTCGAGATTCTCTTCCATCACGTTGTTCGCTGCAGAGCAGCGAGACCCAGGAGCGGTGAAGACGGCATACGTGCCCCCCTGGATAACTTGCAGGCGGCAGCCCAAACCACCACACTGGCCCACCAGACGGCATGCGCCTGGAGAACCCACGAGACAAGTGATTATGTGCACATCCCTGTGCACCCCAGGGCGATCTGCATAGCCCACTCCGTTGCCTCCGCAACAGCCGGAGCCATGGGGCGCAGAGTGGGAATTTGCGGGACGGGGCTTCTTCTGATCTCCACTCCAGAAAGGATCGCCGCCCCCGTCTTGAGACACCTCCGGGACGAGCTTCCGCGTGTCTTTGGAGACGGCTCCTCCTCCACGGCGCTAGGACCTCGCCGCGTCCTCCTGGAAGGGCCCTGGGATGGGGGGCCCTCATTCGTGCGCCTTTCCGACCCCGAGGACGGCTTCCACCTGCGGTGGAACCTTGCGGACATGGGACAAACACGGCCGGAGGACGCCCTGCAAGCCGTAGAGGCCACCACCGGTCCTGGCACGGTCGAGCAGGTCTCCACCGTGCACGCCTGGTTCCCAGATGTCTCTGACTACATATACATGGCGCAAGTCCGCATACGCCTAGCTGCGGCCGACGCCATGGCGGCAGCCTCTGTGGGCACCAGTTGCATAGTGATCGGAGCCCAGACCGTCAGGATCTTCCCTGCCATACCCAGCAGGGACCCCATGCACAGAGCAGCGGCGGCACCCAGGGAGCTACAGGAACACGTGGATGCACTGGCCTGCATCTCGGTCCGACAAGCCCCCAGACGAGCCGTTCAACCCCAAGTCCTCGAGATCACCACGTTCGACAGGCACGGGGCGCAGCTCGGAGAAATTCGCCCGCGCAGCATGCGCCCGGACGCCTGGCTCCCTGGACGCAACGCACTTCGGCTCTTCTCCGCCTCGGTTGGCTCGGCGAATGCCCAGTTACTAACCCGGCTTTGGCCGCTCCCGGATGGCCCTGGCGGCGCCTCGCACCCAGCCAACACCAGAGCTGCCCCAGCTATCATCACAGGGGACTGGCTCCGGGAGAACGCTAGGGCGATGAGCAGGAGTGCGCCCAACACGGTACCTAGCGTGTCTCAGGAGAGTGGCCTACGAGACTACGAGACTGTCCTGCAGCCTGGAGAATACCTGCTCGCTGCAATAGCAGCCGGTGGAGCCGCGGAGGTCACCGCGAGCGGTGAATCCGGTTTCCTCTTCACGTCGGTCCCCGCCTGGGTGGCGATGCTCCTCCCCGCGGACGCGGACATCAGGGCAGCCACGAGAGGTGCGGACAGACCACAGGCCAGACTCAAACTACAGCTCGCCGCGGGCCCCATTCACGTTGCGCGCCTGGACTCCGCCCCTGCATCCACACCAACTCCCGCTTCTGTGGGGCTGAGGGTTAATGCTCCTTCCCAGCAGCCACTTCCTAGACGCACCTCCGCATCCCTCAACCCACTCCCTGGGCCCGCCAGGCCCACGCACTTTCCAGAGCTCGCCGAGGTACTAGCGAGTACATGCAGGCCGCCCCTGGCCGAGCTGGTGAGAGCCGACGAAGATGCAGTCCGCATCGCGCGGGGCATGTTGGGTAGATACGCAGCCGTGGTCCCAGAGCAAGCGGCCCACGACATGGCGCGCGGTGTCCAGCGCCGGATCGGTCTCGAAATCCGCAGGCAACTCGAGGGTCGGCCCATGCAAAGGTACAGTTGGGACATGTTCGCCGCAATCTGGATCCTGCAGCTGGCCAACCCGGGGAGCCTGGACCGCGACCACGTCTGGCAACTCATCCGAGAGCTTGATATCCGAGAAGAGGTCACGAGACAGCTCCCCTTCACGCAATGGTTTGCGCCGGAACCTGACGACACCGACTCAGCCCACCAGCCCCGGCTCGAAGTCCCTGGTTCCAGAGGCGCAGACGTCGACGCCACTACCTCGCTATCTGTCCCTGCAAGCGTCGCCAGTGCCCTGGGCGCCCTGATCAACAGGCTGTCTAACCTTCACTGGGAGGAGCGGCAGCGCCACGATCCTGGAAGAGTCACCCGTGGACGGAGAGGAGGCTCCCAGACCTCCAGAACGATGGAAGCGGGGGACAGACCAGCGGACAACCCAGGCACGAGCCAGCGCAGAAGCCGCAGTCGGGCGAACAACGAGACGGACGCGGCAGGCACGCAAGCCGGCGTTGCGATGCCACCCGCCACGACGGGCCCTGGACCGCTAGCCACACCCACAAGCCCTGGGCTCCCCGATTCGGTGACATCACAGACAAACACAAGTCCCAGCGGTGGCGCTAACGACAGCCCGGCCCTCACCGCGCAGGAAGTGCAACCGCAGACCCAGATGGCGCCACACGAGCAGAATACGGCACCACCCTCCGTGGCCAGACCGACCGGCGACGGAGTAGCGGACAATGGCGCAACCCGGGTTGACAGCATCGGTCAACTCCCACCCCGGGCGACTTCTGCGAACCCCGCGACGCCCAGGGAGGGGCCGGCTCGGCCACTCACCCCGGCCCGTGCCACCACGCCGAGCTCGGGC